CTTCAGCATCGCCAATGTCACTGGAAGAATGATTTGGCTATTTTCTGGAATTAGGGTTTTGGCCGAAGCCTCCACTTCTATTTGGTACATCTAGGATTGAATTCTTCAATCTTCAAGAAGCTAACTTTTCTGTGTTTCTTTCTGCCTCCATTGCCTTAAATTCCTACTAAAAATATGCATCATTGTGAATTGTGAAGGTCCAAATCACTGGCCGAAACGACACAGCTCTCCTTCAGCTTGCAAACTTTAAAGCTTTACGCAGGCTACACAGGTTTCTCTCTGTCCCTGTGCCCTTTGTCTCTCTGTAATTGTTATATTTTTGTTCTTATATTTGTGAAATTGGAATCTATGTGATTTATATTGACTTACAAGTTAGAAGTATAAATGTGTACCACTGGTATGCCAACATTGTACCATCAAGTTGATGAATTTTCAATCGGCATGGAAATTTCAAACTTGTTTGCTTACGTTTGGTAGATAATCATTAAAACAAATTTGAATTCTCAATTTTGCTATATGAAGAAATTCAGAGAAGGGAATTTTACGTAGACAGACTTTTAGTTTAATTTAATGATAGATTCTAGAACTAATAATAAATATATAAAGGCATTACAAGAAGTTGGTAAATTAGACAACGAACCAGTAGGACTTTTAGCACTGAAAATGAAGCAAACGTGTGGTAGTCTGGCCTTATCCGAGCCATGGAATTGGTCCTACTACTAGTAAGAGACGATGGAGTGACTGCAAAAAGGAGGGTCTTGTCTCTTGTGCGTATGTTCTACGGAACAATTAATTTTCCTCGGAGCTGGACCTGCCAGTCGCTGTATAGATATGAGCTGAACCAGTTACCTATGGCAGAAGACATGTACAGTCTGGATTTCTGTTGTTTGCACAGACAGACAACATATTTAGTTAGAGCGTCAACGAAGTGCTTTGCATCTAATGTCATCTCAGTTGCGTTGATTTTTCTGCTTTGTTTTTGTGGGTATAGTCCATGACTTAATGCATTTATATCTGTGGTGAGACTTAAACTGAATTATGTATTGAAAGTTCACAGAGTCTTTGGTAGAGAATTGAAATTAATAGCCATGTTTTTCAAGCTTGTTATAGTCATACTAGTAAGCCTAGCAGCAGCTGAAGATCTCAATTTCACCTACAATGGTTTCCTGTCTGCTAATCTTAGCCTAGATGGTGTAGCCCAAGTCACATCCAATGGCCTTCTGAAGCTTACAAATGACACTGGACTCGGCCATGCCTTCTACCCCAACCCAGTAACCTTCAAGAACTCATCCAATGCTACCGCTTTCTCCTTCTCTACCACTTTTGTGTTCGCTATCAGATCTGGATTGGGACCACGTTTGGGTGGCCATGGAATTGCCTTTGTCATTGCTCCGACAAGAGGGCTCCCCGGAGGTTTTCCAAACCAGTACCTGGGCGTTTTCAATGAAACCAACAACAGCAACGCCAACAACCATATTTTTGCTGTAGAGCTTGACCCCGTACAGAACCCCGAGTTTGGCGACATCAACGACAACCATGTTGGGATTGATATCAATGATTTGCGCTCAGTGAACTCAACTCCAGTGGGATATCATGCTCTAAACAATGGCGGTTTCCGAAACTTGACCCTCATCAGTGGTCAACCAATGAAGTTTTGGGTGGAATATGATGGTATCCAGAAGCAAATCAATGTCACTTTGGGTCCAATCAATGTTGATAAACCCCATATTCCACTCTTGTCTTTGAAGTATGACCTTTCCACGGTCCTTAACACGAACATGTATGTTGGCTTCTCCTCTGCTGCTGGCTCACTCGTCACATCTCATTATGTTCTAGGTTGGAGCTTTGAGATGAATGGCCAGGCTCCAGAACTTGTTCTATCACAACTTCCTAAGCTGCCCCGGATAGGAGGTAAAAAAATATCTAATTTTTTGACCGTTGGTGTGCCTGTAATGTCTGTGAGTTTGGTTTTGCTAGCAATTTCAAGTTTAATTTATGCTATAAGAGGGAAGAAGAAGTTTGCAGAGCTGCTTGAAGATTGGGAGCTTGAGTATGGGCCTCAAAGGTTTAAATACAAAGAGTTATATATGGCAACAAAAGGGTTTAGGGAGAAGGAGCTTTTGGGAAGTGGGGGATTTGGTAAGGTCTATAAAGGCATATTACCTTCCTCCAAAACTGAGATTGCAGTGAAGAGGGTCTCACATGAATCAAGACAGGGGATGAAGGAGTTTGTTGCAGAAATTATTAGCATTGGCAGACTTCGTCACCGAAATTTAGTACCACTGTTGGGATATTGCAGAAGAAAAGGGGAGCTGCTCTTGGTCTATGACTACATGCCTAATGGAAGCCTGGACAAATACCTATACGACCAACCAGCGGTCACTCTCAATTGGAGCCAGAGGTTCAGAGTGATCAAAGGTGTGGCTTCAGGGTTGTTCTATCTCCATGAAGAATGGGAACAAGTTGTGGTTCACAGAGATGTGAAGGCCAGTAACATATTACTAGATTCAGAATTTAATGCAAGACTAGGAGATTTTGGCCTTGCTAGATTATATGACCACGGAAAGGACCCTAAGACTACTCGTATAGTTGGAACACTTGGGTATCTAGCTCCGGAGCATGCAAGATTAGGCAGGGCCACAACACACACCGATGTGTTTTCTTTTGGGGCATTTTTGCTTGAAGTTGCCTGTGGAAGAAGGCCAATAGAGACACAAGGTCAAGATCTGGATGTGGTTCTGGTTGATTTGGTGTTTTCTTGTTGGAAGAGAAGTAATATTCTTGAGGCAATAGATCTAAACTTGGGTTCAGAATTCGTAGCTGAGGAGGTGGAATTGGTGTTGAAGCTTGGGCTGTTGTGCTCTCATTCAGAGCCTTCTGCTCGGCCAAGCATGCGCCAAGTAGTGCATTATTTAGAGGGTGACATTCCACTGCCGGAGTTGTCATCTCTTGGTCTTTCTTCTGGTGGCTTGAAGTTCACACACCGCGAAGGTTTTGATGATTCGGCAACATCATATCCGTCTTCTATGGGCAAGGAGATGTCATATGTTCCAGAGTCGGCACTTCTCTCAGGTGGTCGCTGAGGCCAATCAATTTAGATTCTCAGCCAAGCTGCCATGCACGAGGCATGGAACATATATATGCAGCTTTGAATGTTTCCTCCAGTTTATTAGTTTCTTGTTACATTAAATCAATGCTGCCAACAAGAAAAATATTACCTTGTTGCTGAAATGTGTATTATAATTATTTAGATAGTTTTATTATAAAATAGAGTTTTTGTATTATACTATTTTTTATATCTTTGTTTTGTTGTTGATAATATACTATTTTTTATATAAGCAAACAGACATGGAACAATTTTGAATCTTAATAAATAGTAAAAAATTAGAACGGGAAAATGGACCAATTTTAAGAGGCGGCAGTCGGGTTGGGTCCGGAATGCGGGCCGAATCTTGGACTAGTAATTACTGGATGAGTGTGGCGGAGAGCTCCGCAGACCTCAAGTTCTCAACTTTCAGGTCCTTCACCGTTGTCCGATGTCAAAACAGATCGTTGGCCATTTTCTAGAGAATGGGTTTTGGCGGAAACCTCCATTTCTATTTGGTACATCACGTTGTTGTAGGAGCAGGAGTGAAATCTTCAACCTTCTAGACGCGAGCTTTTCTGTGTTTTTGGCTCCAACTATTTTGGCTCCGTCGCCTTAAACCAAGCACATTTGCATCACTGTGAAGGTTCAAAATTTAGTCGTGGAAACGACAGACCTCTCCCCCA